TAGAAGGACTTGTCTCTCTCAAAAAAGTATGTATTAACAATTGTCATGAATTAGAGCATCTACCGAGTGGGCTCTCATCTTGCACTGCTCTGGAGGAATTGGAGCTAAAGAGATGCTCTAATTTGGTTTCTATTCCTGAAGAATTGAAACAGTTGCAGTCTCTTGTTGAGTTGTATATTTACAATTGTCCAAAATTGAAGTTTATTCCAAGTCTAGAAGGACTTGTCTCTCTCAAAACAATATTTATTTTCAATTGGGAAGAATTAGAGCGTCTACCGAGTGGGCTCTCATCTTGCACTGCTCTGGAGAAATTGCAAATATGGGCATGCTTTAATTTGGTTTCTATTCCTGAAGAATTGAAACAGTTGCAATCTCTTGTTGAGTTGTGTATTCGGCATTGTCCAAAATTAAGGAGCTTCCCAAAGGAGATCTTGGGCTCTCTTGCCAGCCTGAAGGAATTAGAGCTTGGCCCTTTCTCAGAAGAGCTGAAGGAATTCCCAGATTTGAGTTCCACTTCCTCCCTTGAAGTCTTGTGTTTGGAAGGATGGGGGGAATCGCTAACTCTGCCACATCAAATTCATCGCCTCACTGCTCTCAGGAGGTTAACCATCGAAATCTTCAATGGAGTGGAAGAAGTTTTATTGGGAAACCTTTCTTGTCTTAAAACACTTAAAATTCAAAATTGTTGTCGGTTAAGGTGTCTATCAGGTGGGCTGTCATCTGTTGAGGAGCTGGAGATAACAAATTGCCCTAATCTGGCCTCTTTCCAAGGAGAGTTGAAGGAATTGCCTTCTCTAACCATTGTAGGTTGTCCAAAATTTGTGGGCTTCCTAGGGGAGAGTCCCAAGTCTGAGTTCCATCCACGCCTCCCTTGAAGATTTGACTCTGCGAGGATGGGAAAAATGTACTCAGCTCCCACAAATTCAACACCTTACTGCTCTAAAGGAGTTGAGTATAGGCAACTTCAGTGGAATGGAATCTTTGCCAGACTGGTTTAACGACTTGTCCTCCCTTCGACGACTTTATATTACGGACTGCCCAAACAAGTTAAAGGAAAGATGCACCGAGGGAAGCGGTCCTGACTGGCACAAGATTTCTCACATTAAATACATCAGTATAAATAGGCAGTTGATCCAATTTAAACACTGAGGCAAAGAGGTTCGTCTTCTCTTTTTTTCTCACAACTGCACTTATACGAATTCCAACACCAAAAAGCAAAATCTCTCTCCTCATCCTCTATCAATTAATTGGATTGATGCTGCTCCCTCCATCGCTGTTGGGTGCTGCCAATTAGTGTTATCTCGTCAAAATTATTTGTTCTTTCTCTCAAACCATATATAAATTCATGTTTTCTTTTTTCTCACTTTTGATTCATATTCTTATACTGCATGTAGATGTGATTAATTATGAGTGAATAATCAATGAGTTGATGGAATGATGATTTCTAGAATTCTGAATTGAAATCCTACAAGCTTCAACGTTGTGGTAATTAATTCATCGCTCTTCACTTGATCAATTTAACTTATCTTACACATTTGAGGAGTGTGAGCACAAGCAGAATTTGATTCAACATGGAAATGAACTGCTGCATTTCTTGCTTTTTGAAATTACATTTGATATTCCAAAGAT